CCCTCCCCGACCCCAATACATTCCTTAAATATTTGTCAGCTCATTCAAAACATCTCTCTTGCTTTCTCGCTGAAGCCGGTGATATTAATCACACAGGGAGGGAGGGTGGCGGAGCTCGAGAAGGGGGGAAAAAAATTAAAAATTAAAAATGCATCGATGCCAACTCTGTATGTACACGAAGCATCTCCCCCCATCACCTCACCAGATGAAAACAAATTTTAAAAACAAACAAATCTGAAGCAAGCTGACATGGTTTGAATGACTGCATAGTGAAAATGATATTTGGTTTACTTACAGATGGGGTTACAACACGCACACGCGCACACACAGACTCCCTCACAAGCTAATATACACATAAAGCCACTATTGGCAGTAGCCAGCATTGCTGTGTAGAATGGGATAACTTTATACATTTGGTGTGTGTGTGTGTCTAGTTTAGTAATCAGATGTTTAATTCCCCCCCGACTCTCACACAAACACACATACAAGCAATTACATGTGACAGGATTTATAGGTGGTGTGTGGCACCGTCAGCCAACCAAGTGAAAATGCACACCAACGGCACGGTCGGCAAGTGTGTGCGCGTGTTTGTGAAATACATGTCAGCTTAATAACAGAGAACCTCGACAGCGGGAGACTGGGTCCAGCTTTATCACGAGTTAGCCGAGGCACACGCATGCACGCACAGTTTGAACACTGAGCGCTGAATAGGAAGTGCGGCGTGTACTGCCGAGCTTGTATTTGAAACTGCACCGACGAGAAGAGCTCAGGCTGCTGTGATGGCAGAGCACCAGAACCAGGGCTGTATATAATAGTTTTGAAGGGGGGGTGGGGGTGGGGGGGGTTCACCCGTCGTATGGAAGTGTGCACCACTTGAAATCAGTTCCAGCTCACATCCGGTGCCCGTATGAAAACCAGAGAACGGCTGAACTAACGGAGTCAGGCCAACTCCACCTCACATCTGCTCAGAGGCCTGGGTCAGTGAGTCAGGATCAAGCCGGGTTTTTCTGCATCACAAAGCTGGCCCAACTTTAACTGGGACTAATTAACATGATCGGGTCACACCGGAGTCATCATTCAGAAACATTTAACAACTTGAGAGCGAGCTTACCAAACCAGCAACCTAATCAATCAGCATCTACAGATAAAAACTAAAGAAAGACTCTGATTGGGTCTGAATGATCAATAAGTGTATTTTAAAGACGCAGCATCATCTGTACACGACATTAAAGGTCCGTGTGTGAGAATATTGGTTATAAATCAAACATTAATTTCAGTTTGTGTTGATGAGTCTTCTTAAATTATCAGGATTATTTTAGCCAAGTAAGGAAATATGTGCTTCCAATTCCCATTATGCTTTATTTTCTGCATTACACAGATACTGTAACACTGGATAATCACTTTCCTACATATCTGATGTCAGCTCGGAACATATTTCCTTATATGGTTATAAGGAGGTGGGGCTTAGAAGCTGAATCTATGCTGGGGCTGAATCGTGCAAAGCTACTCTAGTTGATTCTCTTACTAAAAATATGGAGTTAGAAATGAGCACAATATGTCACTTTTAATGTTTTACATTAACGGTATACCTCTTAACCTTTAACACCTTTTTTGCGGCTTCAATAACTTGACTGAAGAGGACATACTCAGATCGGTAAGCCCAGAGCTAACAGAGCCAGTTGTGTAGCAGCGGTGTGACACCGCTTATCCAGAACGGCTAACATTCAGGTGCTTAGTGATGCCAAGAGTCAGGTGAGCTCAGTTCCTGACCCAGGCCCGCGGTGAGTTTGAGCCAGCTGGTCATGTATTATTGCACCAGTCTCCCTCTGTACTGTATATGACACATACATGGGACATACTACTACTCCCCCCCCACACACACACATACACACACATCCTCTCCCACTAGCTAGAGAGATTTCATATATAATCATAGCTAAGAGTAATCAATTATAATGTCAATAACAAGACTCATAATGATAACAACAACGCTTTTTCGTCTTTTTGTTAAGTTGTGGTCACCTTTGGTGTGAACTATCAAGGTTGTCAAGCTTGCAGGCGACCTGCAGACAGATGGAGGAGTGGATGGACAGAGTGTTGGATGGATGTGGCACAAAGCATCTGGACAGACAGACAGACCCGCCCCAACCCCCAAATCATATCTACACTGTACAGAGTAGTAGTGTGTAGTGTGGCATCAGGATATGACAATTAACTGCTTTCAATACACACAAGAGGTACATTTGAGGTGAGGCGTGAGTTAGTACTTGCGTGAAGCCAACCTTTCTGCACTTCCTTCTCTAATCTATCCAAGCTTCTCTCACTTGCTTTTGCTCTCTTCAACTTGCTTTTTTTGGTAACACGTGTATCGACATTGCATTATTTCACTTATTTGGCTTAAAAGAACAAGAATAAAATATTTGTCCTTTGGGGAAAAGAAGTGACAGCAGCGTCTAACGCAATAAAAAAACAGTAGCAGCAGCAGCAGCAATGCAAATAAATAACAGTCCGAACAGAACAGTAAATGTCACAAACGCAACAAGCTAAATCGCTAAAATCAGAATTGGTAGGTTGGCGTAACACCATGAAAGCTCTTTACAAACCCCCCCCCCCGAAACAAACAAAAACAAACAGCTAGCCTCAGAGCTCAGCACTCCTGTGTGAAACTGCTTCCTCTCTTACACTTACTTCCTGTCACTCAGCTTGTCTCCGACTTTCCTTGAACTTGCCACCACGCTTTCTTTATCCTCCTCGTCACCTCACGTTGGCCCACCCCACACTCATTTCTACCATCTTGACAACATTCCCGGACCCCTCTCCGTCTCTCTGACTTCGCGTTTCCCCCTCTCCGTCATCGCCTCTCCTCTGTTCTGTCTAGCAGTGATTTGGTGTTTGTGGGATGTAGTCTGAACATCATGCTTTGGCTGTGGTCCCGCAAGAAGGGAGATATTAGCGCTCTGCTCAGTCGGCCTATGTAGACCTGCACTCACGTTTACACAGTCTATGTACACACATCCTTTAAGCTGGGTTCTCAAACTGTAACTCACGTGCCAGTGGTCAGCCTGTTTTCTTTTGTAGAAATAAATGGAGTGAAAAAAGAAAAAAAATTTTTTGAATGGGGATTTTTTTACCTAATCAATTAAAGTAATTCTGCAAAAGGTAACAACTCCTCTTTTTTCCACCTCCTAGTCATCTTTTACATCTTGACTGTAACAATTTGCTGCCTTTCTTGGTCTCAGTATATAATAATGAAACCAAATCAGTCCAGTAATCCACTGTGCAGCTGAAGAATAAAAGGAGAATTGGGGAAAAAGAAATTACTCAGATAAATCAGCAGAAATGAATGGCATATCATTGATATTTATCCAAAAGCTCGGTAAAAACAGGATAACGATCCAATATAAACAAAATGGAATTACAGGCCCCAGCCTGACAGTTTTAGCTTCCTAAAAAACACACCAGCACTGCTCAGACTCTCCTCCGTGGATTCTTAATATCTGAAGGTTTGCAAGAGCAAATCTAAATCTCTCGGCCTTCGCCAACAACCCACACGCAGCCTTTGGTCTAAGAACACTGTGGAGCACTACGGAGGCAGAGAGGTGGACAAAAAGGAAGAGGTAGACGAACAGAGAGTGAAGTAAAGAAATGCTCCACAGGTCATAAGATCTACACCTTTTAAATTCTCTGTACAAAAACCCCAAAAACGCTCCCATTTTTTAAAATCACCCAGCTGCTCTCTCTCTTATAACATTTATTAAATCTTTCAACCTTCCAGAAGAAGTTCAAGCTACATCCACACTAATACGTTTCATTTTAAAACGGCGTTTTTCATTAAAAATCTCCGTCTACACTAAACACGCCTGTAACACTATATAACGCTGATATTTCGCATACAACGTGAACAAGCGTGCCAGTGTAAACAGGAAGCAAAGGGCCGGTAGCTTCAGGAAAATACTCCAGAGCAACAAAGCCAACAGCAAGAAACTTTTCCGCTTGGACGAATGAGGCGAGACGGCTTCTGAACGTAACACAAGAGACTGTCGCAGTTTCCAAGCTTCTCCCTGTACTGTTCACATTCATGCACAGGGTCTACTACAACCTAGCTTGATTGGAAGTGGGCTCTCCATTACAAACCACACTCTTTGTGTCTTTCCAAACTTTGTGCATGTTTGGATTTTTAAAATTGGCTCATAATTAGTTACATTTTTGCTTTTGTTGAAAGTACAAATAAAAGAATGACACGTGGCAGCTTTTTGTAGTGTTTTAAATGCCTAAATAAACTGAACTCTGATTAGTTCCTGATTAGTTTTGCAAGTTCCAGCTTATGTCTGACAAATCAGAAGGTACCTCATCATACCCTGCTGCCTAATTTACAGACCTGTTAACAGCCAAATGTGTGTGTGTGAACCTGGGCTATAGACTGGAGGTCGTTGCAAAGCCAATAGTGTGACATTACGGAGCATGATCCACTACAGCAGGAGTTCTCAAAGTAAAACTGGGTCAGCTGCATTTTCAAAAGTCAGGCTTGCTGTGTGGATGTTCATCGCACATGTAGTAAAAACTACACCTTTTAAAACAAAAACGTCAGTGTGGATGTACTCGCGGCACGCATCGATCACCAAAAAAAACCCGTCTTCAAAACAATACACGACTTATTTTCTATAAAGCTAAAATGCAACGCTAATTTTTTTGTGAGTGTTTTTCATTGTTTCTCCCCAACACAAAAAAATTATGTTATTTAAAAAAACAAAAACAACAAAAGCCTTTCAAATTAAAAGCACAGCCAACAGATTAAACTGTTCTCGTTTGTGTGTTAGAGCTGTAGTGTGAAGGTGAATTAACGAGGAAATACAACCTCACTATTAAAAGCCGGTGAGTGAGTCGTTATAGTTATCCATACATAGAAATGCTCACACTGACATATACACACGCACACACACACACACACACACACTACATATAGATACAGCCTGAGAATGTGTGATGGTAGAAACACCTGAAGAATCATAATTGCACCAGACTTTGTTCTTTCCTCTAAATCGTTTATGTACAAGAGCGGCTTGTTTTTGCTGAAGTAGCAGATGCTTTGTTCCAGTGTGTAGTGACTACTCTGTTTACGAATCCAATGGCTTGGATCAATGTCGGCGACAGACAGACGTGTGTGTAAAACTACTGAAAAGAGGAGAAAATGTAAAAGCATATACAAGCTACACCCACAGTTTGTATGTGAGTGTCTGGCTGCAACACACACTGTGTTGTGATGATAGCGTGGTGAGTGCTAACAGTGTCTAAACCAAATGAAGCTCACTACAGCGTGCATCCCCCCCCCCAACCCCGTGTCTGTCTGTCCAGATTCAGCACCCTAATAACCAGAACCACCTGCATCAGCCATCCATCCCTCTGTCGCTCCATCGCACTGAGTCTTCGTGCCTCCCTCCTCTGTGGGATCTTCAGGTCTCTTCTTCTCCGGGGGACAGATGGACAGACGGGATTGGGTGTAGCGCTTGGCGTAGCTGCGGACGGCTAGACTAGAATAGACTGAGTCTGGGCTTGGCAAAGCTAAAGCTAGGCTAGTCTAGCGTACGGCTAAGCTGACGCCAGGCTGGTCGAGGCTAGGCTACCTACTGAAGAGCGAGTGGAGTTGATGCTGATGGCTGTAACACTGGCTGCTGCGAGGCGACTCGGTGCGATCCATCACCACCTGAAACCAACCAGCCACGTCTACGTCGAGCACCTCGTAACGCCGGATGAAACTATGCTCCTGAAATGGAGGAGAAAAGCATAAATGTTGCATTTACCTACAGTTGTGCTGTGAGTAATTTAAAAGATCTGGGTAGACCAATAAAAATAAAAATTAAAAATGGCGACTCACCAGCAGCTGATGGTATTTTGGCCTTTTTCTGTGATCCTTTGTGAGGCTATAGAGAGATAAATGCATTTTACGCAAATTCTTTATGAACTTAGCATCAATATTATTTCTATTGCACATTTTATTACAGGAAAATTAGGCATGTGTTTTACAGAAGTACACAAGAGATCAGAAAGACTGAAATACAAGACAAATAACAACAAAACACCCATTTAAATATACACAAACTGCACCACAGATGATCACATTCGTGCACACAGATGAATTATAAGCCTGAGAGAACAGAAACGTTTACTCTTAATGTGGACACAGCTGTCCAGTCATCACCCTGATCACATGATGGCTCTAGAGTGGACTGCTGATTCACTCACCAGTCTTTGACAAAGGACTGGAAGTCGAGGGAGAAACCCATGCCGAGAGGCAGTAGAGGAGGGTCCTCCTGCAGCACTTTGGTCAGAACCTCAAAGTCTGTCTTGCAGTTCTTGTAGGGAAACTGTCCTGTAGCCAACTCCACCTGGAAGAACCACAAGAAACCTGTTAATGCCCTCAAGTGATCTACAAATAGAAACAAAAACATTTCTGTCACTTTGTACTTTTTGATCCCAAGAGTGAACTTTTAGATTACTAAGCTAACCGTTCCTATCTGGTTATAACAAACTATATTCAATTAAAAAAAAAACAGACAAACATGATAAGTAATAAGACAGAATCTATAAATTTTAAACATCACAGGTCAAATTTATGCACTCGCGTTGCGTTGCATGTTTTTTCTCATGTTAGCAGAACAATAATTTGCCGCTCATGGAAACGTATTTGCTAATCTAAACGGTTGGACCTGAACAATTTTAGTTTGCGCGCACACACAAAATGCTAGACGCTGGTCTACACTACTTGTAATCTGACCTACTTAACTCCCAGTATTCGCAGCCACTAGAAACCGATGCAGTTATGACCACACTTGTTAAAAATGTTAGTCGATTTGCGACATGCCGTTATTACCACATCTTATCGCTGCATCACCTCATGCATCACAGCTGCACATTCAAACAGCTGTTTTAATGTGAATGGATCTGCCGTTTGGTTCTTATTTTGCAACTGTCTTTCAGTGTCATCGATGTAAATATTACGACCAAGGGCACCACTGACAGTCACTGCAGCACCTTAGACTGAAATGACAGACTTACCAGAGAGATGCCGAGGCTCCACACGTCTGCCCGGATGTCATAGTCAGGTTTGGTGGGATCTGGAGGGTCTATTCTTTCAGGCTGCAAGAAAAAAACAAAAACAAAAACAAAAAAAAGAATAGAACAGGCAACACTAAGGTTAGATGTCCCGAGAGTGTGCATTGTGTGGAGTGGGATTTCTGCAAGCACAGCCTCATAAACGCTCTCAAAGGCTACGTTCACACTGCAGGTCTTAATGCTCAATTCCGATTTTTTGATCAAATCTTTTTTTTGTCTGCTCATTCACACTACAAATAAAATGCGACAGCAAACGTGCTCTAGTGTGAACGCTCAAAGCGGCCCGCATGCGCAAAAGAAGATGTCACACACAACGCGCTGTGTTTAGACCCAGAGCAAACAATATTGTTTGACTGATGGCCCTTAATATAAAGACTTCGGACTTCACGTTTCCCAATTTTTGCTTTAAGTTATTTTGTTATTTACATAATAATGTAAATAACCTAATAATGATCCTTATTGCTGTTTTAGAGAGGAGCGGTGCTTCAAAGGATAGTTGCAGATTTCTGTCAGAATCTGCAGATTATACAGTACAAAGAAAATGTTCACGTTTCTCCAACGTTGTCTTCCCAACAGTTTCACTAACATCTGCACTGGATGGCCAGGAAGCGTTCGCGATGTCTTCTCCGGCGCTGATAATTGGTGTCTGACTTGTGTCAGTGACGTAAAAGACGGATTTAATGCGACTTGACCGTTCACACAGCAGTCGCTTTCTGAAACATCGGATATGTATCGGATTCAGTACCACATACGAAAGTGACTCAGATCGGATTTGAAAATATCGGATTTGTGCTGTTCACACTGTCATACCATGATCGGATATGGGTCGCATAGGGTCAAAAAAAAATAATTCAGATTTGATGCGCTTTCGCCTGCAGTGTGAACGTAGCCAAAGTTTGAACACGTTCAAGTCTTGTGCTTTATCTTACACCATCGTGACAGTCACCACTAAAGCTGCTCTGTGGTTCCCTCACTTAGTTTGTAGTCAGTTCGTCTATACTTGATTTATTAAAATCTTTTACTCTCACCAAGTTATCCTGCATAGCATTGTCCACAACAAAGCAGCAATAACAGGTTATCAGGGTTGAATTCTAAGACACCCAAAAATCAAAGTAAACTAATGAGACTACCCCCTTCGGGGATCTCCTCCCAGATCTGGTTCAGGGCATCACTCAGCTCCTGGACAGCCTGAGGTGAAGCCTGGTGGCATCAGGCTCAAATGTAACATAACTAATTAACTGAAACTAATTAACAACCATCTCGGCTACTTAACTGACCAGATCAATATCAGAGAAGCTTAACCGACTTGATGCTAAAGTGTGTCTTAAAGTTTTTAAGCAGTGTGCACACATCCCCTTAACAGCTAGACTGTGTGTATGTGTGTTTTCACTTACTGCCATGTAGGCAGCACAGCCGGCGCTGCGGGTCTTGGCCTTAGAGTCGACGAGGCGTCCGCTGATGCCGAAGTCGCACAGTTTAATCTGACCTTTAGCGTCTAACAGGATGTTAGAGGGTTTGACGTCCCGGTGGATAACGCCGTGTTTCTCTTTCAGGTACAGCAACGCTTTCACTATCTACAGAGGATACACACACACACACACACAGACTGTAAGAACAAAAATGAACATAGGAGCAGAGTGGTTTGTGTGTGTTCCTGCCACTTACTGCCACTGTCATCTTTCCGAGGATTCGCTCTGGGATGGGACCCTGGATTCTCTTCTTTAGCTTCTCAGCACAAGTTCCCATCAGCTCCATGGCGATGAATACATCCGTCTGCACACATACACACAAACACACACACACACACACACACAGTTAGCAGCTAAGGTCTGGGAGCTTGGGAGTTCACTAAAATAAGAGAGTCAAAAACACCCTGGGTGCAGATATATAAAATAAACCTGGGGCTGCACTGTTACAGTACTATAATTTTATTGCTGTGATTACAAACAGTTAAGTATTTTGGGAACACCCACGTTGGTCACTATGGCGCCGTAGCACTGGATGATGTAAGGGCAGTCATGACTCTTCAGCACCACGTCCAGGTCCATCAAGATCCGCTTGTTCTCGTCTTTGTTTCCCGTGCGACGCATTTGCTGGTGACACACAGACAACGTAAATGAACACAGGCACTACGCCGAGTGTAGGCTTTAATAAAACAAAGGCTCCTCTGGTGCTTTGACTGACTGCCTAATTATTAAACATCCCAGAAGAGCTACAATTAAATGATCTCATTAATAGCGGGTTTGTTATAAGGGGCTGTAACTGCTCCTCTGTTTGTAAACTATTCACAATTAAAGCACAAAGGAAAATTAAAACAGTGAAACTACACTGAGCAGAGCCTCGAGTGCCTTCAATCTCTGGCTCTCTGTTTGGATTTAGTCCCAGTATTTTGATTATGGTACCTGAAGTTAGAGAATGTGTGTTCCCATCATCTACTATGAGCAGACAAACACGTTTGGACTACAGTTAGTCCAAAAAATACTCACATTAAGAAGCGCAGTTTTATTCAAATTAAAAATTTAAAAAAAAGATTAAAAAATAAAATATAGGCGTTCATACAATAAAGGACAAAGTAACTGAGCTGGGATCCACATTTCAGCCGGCCAGCCATCCAAGAAAAGGAAATACAAATAAACGTGTCCATGTGAGTGTTCACAGCATCTAAGCTAAGACGCCATAACGCTGTGGTTTTAATCTAGTCCAAAAACTTCTGAGAAGCGGGGGTATCTGCTCTGCAGCAGAACCATGTACGATTGTGTTTAGCGTGCAGATATTTTCCACGGTTTACAAGCACAAACACGACTGCAGCTGAGGAGTCACCACAGCGGGTAGCGCTACATGTTTGACTTGGCTGATTTTTACGCCGAATGTCTCCTCCTGAGGGTCGAAGCAGGGATCTTTCACGAATCACTACTTTTCCTGCCTCTGTCATTAGCATTTTAGAAATGTCACCATTATAAATTTCACACAGTATGATAATGTCATCAAAAATCTATTTTTATCCGCAGCTGCAAACACTTTAAAGACGGCTGGCCAAGATGATATTTGAGAGCCAGTATCAGTAATTTCCTGCGCCTTTAACTTTCTGACAATGGGGAACAAAACAAATGAGTACAACTAAATTATGAAGTGATGTGATGAACCAGGTGTGTCCATCCATCTATCCTGATCCGGGGCTGGGTCCCAGCTTCACTCTTCATCCGAACCCCTTTATGAGCCGCCAGAAATACTGTAAAAACCTTGACGTTGAGGCGAAAGTCACCAGGATTCAAACTTGTCTGAGATTTTACACATACATACATAGTGGTAAGAATTTCAAAATCCTACATCGCCTCGTTCTCCATTTATTGCATTATTATCAAGTCTTGCAAAGACAAATGCAATATTTGTTTGTATAGTGTTTAATTTTGATCAGTTTTGAATTTTTTTTGGTTTGTTTTTTCTTTTTTGCCCATTTAAAACAAACAAACAAAACAACTATCTTACTTTGACCGCAATGACATGGCCCGTCTTCTTGAATCGCACTTTGAAGACTTGTCCACAAGTCCCGCTGCCGATCTCCCCCTCGCTAAACAGGTCTGTTACCTCTGCTGGATACCGCTGAAACAATATTTCAGACTCTGTGTTTCAAGTATTTTAGTGATTCAAATGTTAAAACAATACAAATACAAACTCTTTAACAACCTGAAGACTTTCTGCATCATGCAGCAACAGTGAACTGCTCTGTGATACTTGAGAACAAACGCTTGGATCTGTGGATCAGCCAAGGCTAAAGAATAGCAGCACACAGCGAGAAGATGCGTAATTGCCTTGCTTTGTTAAAAATAAGTCACTGTTGACTGTGCTGCAGTGAGTGACAGCTCACTGAGTGCATTATGTAGCAGAGCCTTTGGGCTAATGAGAAGAAGAACAAACAATCTGGAGAGCAGTAATGAGTCATATAATTTTCTCAAGCATCTTCAAACTCCGACTGGCACTCGGTATGAAACTAGACCTGAAGGCTGGAAGAGGGAGAAAAAACACACAAACTAAACAAGGCCAGACATTATTCAGCAAACAGCAGACACGCCAAGGTTGTTGCTGGTGTGCATGATGCTCTGTTTGCTGTCTGTGCACTGCCCAAGAACATGCTGGACGTGGACCCGATTTAACACGGTTCTCTGTGCTTATTGGAACAGACAGAACAGACACTAAAATACACTCAGACAATTTATTAGGTGGACCTCTTCAACTGCTCCTTCATGACATTTCTAATCAGCCAATCACACGGCAGCACTTAGGAATGTAAACATGCTCAAGATAACCTGCTGAAGTTCCAACTGAGCATCAGAATGGAGAATTAGGTGGATTTTGAACATGGCATGGTTTTGGATGCCAGACAGGCCCTGTGACATTACAGCCCACTTTAAATTATCTCAAACTGGTTTCTTTCAGTGTACTCAAACGACCTCCAGAGTCACAAGGTCTCAATAGAGGACCTCTGGGATATTGTGGAGATTTACATCACAGACCTGCAGCTGACAAATCTGCAGCAAATGTTTGACGTTGTCACGTCAACATGGACCAAAATCTTGAAGGTTTCCAGCACCTTGTTGACTAAGAGCACGTCTTTGGACCGTGGGAGGAAGCCGGAGAGAGTGTGCGTACAAAAACACACCATGTAACCTGTAAGTATACCGCACCCCAACTAACAAATACGTCTGGCTTAATTTCTGTATATTGTTAGCCAGTTAGCCAGCTATACCACCCTGAAATAATAGGTTTGGGCTTGGTTCCTATTGAAAGTGGGAATACCAGGTGCTGGAAGCTGTCGTAGAGCAAATTATCTACTACTTGGAAGGTTTGCAGTTTGATCCCTGCCTATTCCAGTCTGCATGACAAAGTATCTTTGGTAAACACGTTGGGAGTAAGTGTGTGTAGACTCAGATGTAGAAAAATGTGCTTATGTGAATGAGACACACTGATTAAAGCGCTATGAGCACTCAAGTAGAGTACTTGAGTGCTATATAAAAACCAGTCCATTTACTATTTATTATTTTCCTACTTTCTCTGTAGTACAACTAACCAGGCCCGTTAACAGGATATAAATCTTTGGAGGGAACAGAGGTCACAATTATAGTTTGATTCACGCCTGAGTTCCAGACGCTATTTTTAAAAACATTTTTTTATTGTTTTGGAAGAAGATTGGGCGTTGAGGTTTGGTTGCACAGACAGCGTTTGCTAAAAAGCGTCAGCTCACAGAGACACAAAGCAAAAGCCACATCACGTCTGCGTCCTCATTCTTAGTTTCACTTCTGTAACTACAACGTGTCTCACCTGCCCGTCGATCTTCAAATAACCCGTCTGTTTCATGATCTCCTGCAATTTCTGGTCAATCTCGGCACTGCAGGGGGGGGCGGAGGACAAAAAGGAAAAGAAATCAGTGTCAGGAAATGCAACAGGAAGTGCGTACAACCTACGCTGCCAGATGAGAGACCTGACTCATAAATGGAGTGGATTACTGAGCGTCTCTTTCACCCACACTCTGCATGTAGATCCATAACACACAACATCATGACCTGTCACAGAGTGTGTATCTACTCTCCGTGTTCCTTCTTTGTCTTACAAATTAATGTGAGTACTGGGATACTCCCAGAAAGGTTACTGATTTTTTAATCAAAACCATTACCATTCATTATAGGACCACGAGGACACAGTAAAACCTGTAAATGCTTTTTTCCTTGTAATCAGAACAGCACGTTTAAGATGTGAACGCACTTCTCTAGGCTCTTCTGTAGGCCATACGGAGGCGTGGGCAGGGTTAGCATGTGTCGTGGGCGGCTGGGGTACGGGTGGTGCTGAGGCGAGCTCTCTGAAGATGACGAACGGCTGCCTCCATCGTTAGCCAAGGGCAGCTGGAGCGCTGAGGTAGAGGGGATATGAAAAATTAGACCCTGAAAGGAGAAGATGGATGATGATGGTACTGTTGCTTAAAGGGATGGTTGCTGCTTAAAGCTGCTGACCACCAGTAAAGAAGGCGATAATGTGGCGTTTTTAAATCTTATCCCCTAAATCTTTCTGACTGTTCTCTGCACAATAAAAGAAAGATATGATGCTTGCTGAGGTCAAAGAGTTTGCTCATTACATCGCTATGACCTAGATTTAGCCATTACTGGAACTTGGTTTTTTTTTTCTTTCCCCTCCTCCTTGAGTGTTACAGCTTTGTTTTGGTTCCACTGATGTCCTGACCCAACGTTAAAACAAACAGGACGGTTATCTCTGAGCACTATTCTCAGACTGAGAGAAACTGAACAGATTTAATGCACAGTTTGGGAGTCACAGTTTGTTTTTAAGAGGAAAACTACAAGTTCATTACAACACGGGTTTCATTTTTACCGCTTCAGGCTGCGATTTTGAATATGAAAGTATTTTACTCATTACAGCGGCCGCTGAGATCTTAGAACGAAGCGATCTAGCGGGAAACAGCACAAGCACAAACCCCTGCCCCTAAAAAAGGTTGTTAATTAGCCTGCGCTGCAAAGGAAAACCTGAACCAGGGGGTCAACCGTGTAATGAGGAAGCACATATTTAATGTGTCCCTAGATTGCCAGCAATTTCAGATTTGATCAAGTACTGACTTATCTTAATTAGTGGTGCAACGGATCACGGTTGATCCATAATCCGAACCGATCCCACTCCACGGTTCGGCACACACGTGATCCGAAGATTTGAAAAAGAAGAAGAAGAAGAAAAAAAAAAGTATGTGTATGGTGGCGTGGTGGGTCTGTCAAGTGATAGTTATGGCCAGTGCTAGCGGTCCAAGTGGAGGAGCAGAGGAGTTTGCTGTATTTAAGCAGCCCTTTGCTGCCCAGTCCGATCGGGCTAAAGCTATACAAAAGCTATTGGGGTGTTTAGCTGCAGACGGGAGGCCGTATTCCTTTGTGCAAAACAAGGGGTTTAAACTATCATGAATGTGCTTGAGCCACGCTATGATATCCTGTTGCACGTCCACTTTAGTGGCAAGATCGTTCCAAGCATGTATGAGCAGGAAAAGTTTAAAGTTATGGCTGAACTGTCCCAGGCATCTTCTGTTGCCCTAACTACTACAAATGGGTGGAACTCCAGGGCAACGGAAAGCTATGTGACCGTGACAGCTCATTATATCACAGCGGAGTGCGATATAATGAGCTGTATGTATTATTGTAGGGTCTACATTACAATATAAAGCGCCTTGAGGTAACTGTTGCTGTGATTTGGCGCTTTATAAATAAAATTGAATTGAGTGGTAGATACAAAGCCCTATACTGCCTTATATTGTACCATAATTTTTTTTTTTTTTTTAAATAATTGCGTGGAATGAGACTATAGTTGAATGTTTTTAAACAAGCAAAAAATACTTCAATAAGTAAATAATTAAATGTTCAATTTTTGTCTTTTTTCGCTGATCCGAAAATTGATTCGATCCATGACTTAAAACCGTGATCGGATCCGAACCGTGAGATTTTTGATCCGTTGCACCACTAATCTTAACCATAAAACCAAATGCAGGAAAGAAAACCTAAAACATGACCAAAATAAATAAATAAAATAAGACGACAGACTGTAGTATCAAATAAAAGAACTATTATTTAAATAAAGTCAGGCAGCACTATTTAACTTTTCCTGGCTTGAATGGGGACTAAACACATGAATGATTAGTGAGAGCAAATACAAATGAGAAGCCACATTTCATCTTATTTTTCTTTTGATAAATTTAAAAAACTGTAGACGATTTTACAATATTTTGGTTAAACTGTTAAAGCGCTGTAGGTGTGGTTTGGCTGCAAAGGAAATCAAAACAGTGAATACCAGATGCTTCTAGCCCTTTATAAAGATGGGTACAAATCATGCATTCAAGGACATGTTAAAACACCACCAGCTGTGTAATATCAGGTTCATATGCAAAACAAGCACAAACTCATCCTCCAATAATAGACGTGTTAAAGAATTTCAGGAAGAAACAATCTGCAGTAGTATTAGTACCGGTCATGCACCAAATTCTCAGACAGAAAGTCAGCAGCTGCACTGACCACCCTGAACGTAAATATTATTGCAGACAGGTTAACAGCAATCTCCCATCATCATCTTAAAGGTTTGCAACCAGTATGCAACGTATCTCAAGGACCATGCAGTGTTGTTGTTAATACGATTTGGATCTTTTTTGTAGAGAGCCAGTGGGCGTTTGGATCCGTGAGTCACCTGTATGAATGAAGCCTGTAAGGGGAGAACCAGTTAGTGAAGGAGAGGAGGGGGTTAGTGTAACAAGAAAGGAGAATTCAGGCGGTCTTTGGCACAAATTGCATCTCCACAGTTCGACTGGCTCCAGATGGACAGATGGGAGGATTGATGAGCAGACAGAGCGAGGGAAGGGAGAGACGCACAAACACAGATACTCGCAGGCACTGCTGCACCGCCTCCTGCTCACACAGTGCCGCTGCAAAAGGAAGGGGAGGGTGCCAGAAGATGAGAAAACACACAACATCAAACGATCCGATGTGAGAGAGACAGAAGTGATTCGGCCAAAACTGCATAGCACAGACTGAGGCTGGAAGTCAGACAGACAGTCACTCTTGGACAGGAAGGCAAGTCTTCAGTCGACACACAAAGAAAACAGAGAGAGAGGGAGAGGGAGGCCGGAGTGCTCGCAGCACTCCTGCAGGCGGACCAGTGGGGATGCTGGATTAGAGACTGTGTCAAACAAAACGCAACCCCCCCAAAAAACAAAAACAAAAAAACCCCCATCGTGCCGTGCAAAAAAGCCACATGCACCGTGATTCTCTGCCTCCAGCGAAACACAGGTTAATCATCCGACACATGTCCACACACACACAGTGAACATTAACACATACCAACACTTCCCTGCCACTGACACGCATTCACACAGAGGGAGGAGCAGAGATGGAAAGATGGAGGGATGATGTGAGTGTAGAGGAGGTGTAAATGACTGCCGGGATAAAATAACAGCGCTGGATTCATAAACGTGGATTAAACTGATTCAGCTGTAGAATGACCACACGAAGCGGGGACGCACCGATCCAGCTTTTCCAATTTATCTGCGCTAGCTCACTGTAAGAATCACAGGCTACTGTGCATAGCTCTCATTTACAGTTGTCCTTTCCTTCTCTCAGTCCAAGCCCACCTCCTTTTACCGCTCCTCACAAACCCGTGTTGGATGTCAGGATACAAGTGAAGTGAAATGACTGTATGGAGTTGATCCCTGGTTTGAACTCACGTCAGGAAGAGTAATTCAGAGTAAAAGTCTACCCAATCAAATATGTGGAGCTACCCACCATCCCTTGTGAATATGAGAGCTGCTGAAAGTTGCTTCAACAGAGAAAACACGATTCTTTGTATGAAGTCCAGGAAAAGCTTCCACACTAGTGTGAGACTTAACAATGATAACAATGGTTAGAGAAAAAAAAGCATTGTCTTGTTGGATCACAGTATTATCACCATTATCCAATATTTAGATTGTATGATCGGTGCATCCTTATTGAGTAGGAAATAAAACTGGATGCTTATATGCTGGCCTGCTGATGGTAATCCATATCTTTCACATAAGTTACTTTTATGGAGTTATTCAAAGTCTATTCTAGTCTGCCTAGACGAAACAACAATATAACCCCATATTAGGTGGTGGTCAGATTTAACACTAGCTATCATTTGTAAATACAGTATCATATTTCTCACCATAGCCCTATCCATTCAACCTCTAAATTAAACTGGATGTTAAAAGAAACGTGGAGAAAGTCGTGGTATCGAGGTGTTTTTTAAGCTTGCAGGGCCAGAACGAAGAAAACTATTGAGAATGTGAGGAGCAGCCAAAGTTATTCTTGTCTTATAGGTCTAACGAAGTGTGAAATATTAAAAACAAAAAACAAGAAAGAGAGAAGATGAAGGAGGAGGGAGTGGATGATGCAATGGAGGACAAAGGTGTTGGTAAGGTGGGGGGGTGCAGTGGCAGAGAGAGCGATGGACTGAATGATACCTGCACGCTGGGAAGGGGCTGGAGCAGGACTGAGCTGGATCACGATGACTAGACGGAGGAAAGAAAATACACACACACGCACATTACTGCAGTGTTCTACTGAGACAATCGCACATCTTTGCACACACACAAATCATAAAAATCCCTCCAAAACAAACAAACAAAAAAACCTCACCCCACCACACACACACACACATCACTCGCTCATTTCTTCACAACATAACTTGAGTGGTTTAAACTTAAATTGAACTTTTTCTTATTGTCTATTAATCTCATGAAGACTAAAATCAATTACATTGCACATTAATGAATCATAGTGTTTCTCATATTTTCTGTGGCACTCTTTTCCCAGGATTTAAAATAAGGCCACGTATTGAAGGTTCAAGAAAAAGTGGGTCAGTAGCTTACTGTGTCACTTCATATGAAACCAGTCAAATCTGAAAAAAGCTCCATCCGGCCTCCTCATAATCAGCTGTTTTTGTCCTTATACAGTAACTTTAGTGTATTTACTGAAGCCATGCAAAATTTGACCGTCATTCAGTAAATACTCTGAGGTACGGGCCCTTAAGTACACATTGGTGGGTGATTTTACCATTTTCGCCTAAACTGGAAAACCGCAGTATTTAAATACTGGCGGAATCATATTTCGATATTTTGTCCAGATATTAGACTGGTGCATCCTAATTCTGTAGAAAAGAACATTTTATCTCCAGTCAATACAGAGTGGGGATAACACTTATCTTGTTGTAGTTTTTAAACAGTTATTGTTGTTATTCAGTCAATTTTTATGTGACCATTGCCTGCATTTGTGACGCTATCAAGAAAATAAGGTGGATCAAAAAGCACAGAGGGCCTGTTGGTTGGAAAAGTGTCATGATGGGCTAAGTTTTGCATGGTTTCATTAGACATTAATGACGCCAAAGTTAAAACAAGTGATTCTAATGGAGTCAATCTGGGAGGCAATCAGACTTTTCATGTAATAACACAAGGTGGGAAAAAAAGCCAATTTTGCACCTTTTTTGGCAATAAATGAAGCTTTAATCTCGCAGAAATGACCTTTATCACCAGGATTTGAATCCACGGGAGCACATTTTTAGCAGGTTGTAGACTTCAAATGAGATTTCAACAATAAGAAAAAACTTCGGATTTAACCCATTCACTCTCTTTGTGACAACATAATCAGCTTCATAACAAACAATTCAAATAACAGGAGGAAAAAGGTTTGTGGTCTCGAACCTAATGAACGGACAACAAGATCTGCAGAAAAAAATGATAAGGGGTTCAGATTGCTAACACTTTGAAAGTCTGCTGGTAAGGATGTAAAGATAATGAAGAGCTTTGGTGTGTAAACCACAGCAGAGGCAGGCTGCAGACCTCCCTGCTGCTTGACTTTTCGCCCGAAAGGGCCCCAACATCATTGCGAACACCAGCTCCTGTGACACCGAGTTTGTGTCCACTAACACCCGTGGAGCGCTTCATTCAATATATGTGCGACAAATCTCAATTTTCACAAGATTTGTTACGTCGCACCAGTGTTTGCCACAACAGCCAAGCCGTAACCTACGTTAAGTTAACGCATCCAGAGCTAGCGTTATTTAGCCTGCTCAAATTAGCATGTTTCGTCAAGATCAAAATGGCAACTAAAACAAAGTCTATGGCAAAAATCACGATAAAATGTACCGCTTGCAGGTTTTAAGAGTGTATAGATGCTCTGCGGCTGACTGGCAGGACCACAGCTTTTCATGCGCAAACTGAAACTGCATTACATTTTCTGACGCTGGGCCCCGCCACAGACTATCAGAGAGTCTGCTAGCCTGCTAGCTTAGCATGTTTGACAGGACAATCAAAACAGATTCAGGGACACGTCTACCGGCAAGATGTTTCGTAACATCGCTTCGGTTTGTATACTTTTCCTTTACGTTACTCACTACAGAAAATGTCCCACTTATTTAATTATTAATTTGGCAATAAAATAAGCGGGCCAGCCTGAGTCTGTGTTTGTTTATGTAGCTAGCCTGTTAGCATGAAGGTAGCAGCAGCATAACAGCCCCGACTCCTTCACTCCGCTCCTCTCCTCTCCCCCCGCTCCCCGGCCCCGCAGCTCCGATCTTTCCCCCTGCTATTCTGGCCGTTACCGACACCCCGGTCCTCCCCAGTGGACACTCACTCGGCCTCGGTCGTGACCGCTGTGGACTCATGTCGATGTTGAGGTCGATTCTCCGGCGAGCTTCTTCATTCTCCTGCTTTAGTTTCTCTTCGATTCGCGACAGCCTCTGTTCCAGCGACGACATCTTGAAAAATTGAGCACCATGTAGTTCCCAGCAGAGCTCTCGACTCCCCTCTCTGGCAGGCAGGCCAGCAGCACACTGACTGACTGACTGACTGACTGACACACACATATACACACAACACACGCGCGCGCGCACACACACACGCTGCAGTAACACGTGTCCTAAAGACCCACTGCCACACTCATTTTTTTTCCCCCATAGACTTTTGGTGCCCACCTAAAGAAAATCATAATTTATACCCTAATACTGCTAAAAACAAATATTCTTGGTAGCAATTACCAGTTAATTACCCATTTTCAGGCTTGGAAAAAAAAAAAAACAGTTACTGGGCAGCAAGCAGAAATCCGAGTTTGTTTGCATTTTAGGACGTGCACAAAATGCACGTTTAGGTGTTAATTTTAGTATAATTTGTAGCAGCAAGACTCAAAGGGAAGGTTTAAAACTGGTAGTGAGACTAGACCGGGTTCCAGTCGAATGCTGCTGAACAGGTAGATTACACTAGGATTTTATAGTATGTACAACATCCTTATTGTTACAGCAGTTGTTTTCAGTACTTCCACCCCTCTATGCAAGAAATGAACATCAATCCAATCTAATATAAAGTGTTCAGAGTATCTTAGATATAAAAATCACACAATAAGGTTCCACACATGTTAAAATAACTATCTGGTAAATTTCCCTGCAAAAAGTGGACATTTACTGAGATAATTTGAAGTGAAATGATTTATTTATTATTACTGGAATTTACTGTTTACATACTGCTGAGAGTACATGAGGATAAGATGCAGATCAGCACTTATGATTGCGGATCCAGGCACTCGTGTTTCCACGAAAGGCTGACCATTAAGGACCAGTTCTGATGTTTTTCCATTGGTGATGCTTTCTTCTTTAGCAGCCGGTCAAAAGTCAGGGAGACTCCAGGAGTTGGTGCAAATACAGTGAATCCAGTTAAAGTGATTTTCTCACTAGTCTTGTTTGAAGTCCTGTGATATGGTTAAAACTGCCACGAGGAGTCTTTTTTCTTCTAAAATTTTGACTCCCATATTAAAACAGATGCTCATCACAGAGCAGAAATACTTAGCTTGCTACTTGATTAATTAAAAGATAGAAAAATAGGCAGTCACATTTTTGATGCATTTTTCTCTGATGTAATTTCACGAGAAGAAGAAATGACACAATTTGACTTTGTCCATCAGGAGAATAAACTACTTATCCTCTAATTTCATTTTAGTCCTGCTCTGGCAGGTTTGAATGAATGTACTGAAAAATGTTGATACAGAATCTGTAATAATGGGCTGTATACGCTCACCAGCCATTTTATTGGGTACACCTTGCTAATACCATTTCAGAACTGTCTTAAAATATAATCCACAGCATTACACCAGCAGCAGCCTGAACCACTGATAACAGTCAGGATGGATCCATGCTTTCATGCTCTTTATGCTGACTTCAGCTCGTATAGCCATAGCGGTCCTCTGCTGCTGTAGCCCATCTGCTTTAATGTTCAACACGTTGCACGTTTAGAGATGCTCTTCTACATACTTTGTATTTAGCAAGTGGTTCTTTTTTTCCTGACCTCACTCCTCATCAATAAGACATTTTCACCCAGAAAACCACCAAATCACTGGATATTTCCTCTTTTTTTGGACTATTCTCTAAATTGCAGTGACTGATGTGCACGTTCTGCTTCTAGAGGTCTAGAGGTGCGTAAGTGCACGTAGTTGCTGCCATGTGATTGGCTGATTAGATGTTTGAGTTAATGAGCAGTAAAACAGGCGTATCTAATAAAGTGGCCGGTGAGTATTTATTCAATCACTGCAGCAGGTGAGTAGCCATCTGCATCCTGCTCCATTCATTCACAAATACTAAATTAAACGTGCATCCATCTATACATTACTGTGTTATTTTTATTTAAATGAATTCGAGATGCCCCTTTCCCCCTTCCCATGATGACAATAAACACACATTCACTCACGGTTTTCTTTATAAAATATGTCATCTCATACTCACATGGTTCTGTACTGTTGTACACAAGACAGGTAAAATCCATACCACCGCACATACATCTTAACAACAAACCACTGCTCTTGTGTGTTACACAGGTTTTCACTGTTGGCTCATGGTTTTCCTACAGATATCATCAAAGGTATTACCAGAGGTCTACGTCAGCTCTCGCCTCTAATTGGAGCTCTCGCCTCTCTAATTGGCTCTACTGTGGAAAAGCAGCTCATGTTTGTTTTGCTTATGGCGCCCCGCAGAGTTTCCACAAGTACTTAGACATCAACAAGTTTTGGAAACAGCCACAGCGACCGCAGCAGCCAGAGCGTAACCTGTCAGGGCTTAAGCGCCGAAAACAGACACTAAAACAACTTTTACAGCCAGTGATGTTAAAGATTTAATCGCCTCGGGGGGAAATCACTTACTTCATGTTCACAAAACTCTGGTAGCATTCAGGTGACTGGATGAACGTGTCTCCAAACCCATAAAGAGCAGTTTATTACTTGTACATCACAGTTTAGTGTTCAGATTTTTGCTTTTGGAATAATAAATGTTTTCCACAAAGCTTTTATGCTGACGGTTGTGTGTGTGTGTGTGTGTGTGTGTCTGTGTGCTACATATTTATATCAAATTCTTCCTAAAACCCAAACATTCAACTAAAAAGGACGAGTCAACGGTTCTTGTAAAATCCGAGCAGCCCAAGTTTAAAAAGTAGTTGGTGGACATCCAAAGGAAGGTCCACTGCAGTGAAGCAGGACAGTGGTTCTTTACCCATTAGTTAACTAATAATACACCTAAAAGCAGTCAAAAGACTGATGGGTATCAGCTCTGAGTGTCTTTTTTTTCTCTTCCAAAAACATAGAGGAGTTTCTGCAGCACACTGTATCCCTCCTCGCCCTGCTGCTGTACACAAAGGGCCACAAAGTAAAACAAAATGCTTTTCTTCTGTGGAACAAATACAAGTATAAATGTAAGGCATTGGTATGAGAGGCCACTGAGCAACCCCCTAAACAGTCAAAAGTACAAAAATACAGCAAGCTCCTCCTCTCACAGCTGCACTGGCGACTGCCGAGACGTCTAAGACGACGGGAAGAGACTTTTAAAAGTCTGCAAGATACAAAACCCACTGCAGTTTCGTACAATGACTGGAAAGGGGGGCCTTTGTTTGTGATAAAACATTATAACCCCAACTAATATCTGTCCAGGCTTTCATTTGCTCAGTCCATGATCTTTAAAACTCTGCAGACACACAAAACACAGTCTCTTCGTCTTCAGTTTCATTCATTCACAGTGTAACAAGAAGCGACAGACGAGCGCGGACAGTCAGCTTGAGACATATCTCTGTGCTCTGGCTGAAACTGTCGCGAAGCCGTCGAAATCCAACGTTCCTCGAGATCTGTTGGCTTCGGGTCCACTAGCAGAGGTCAGAGACGTAGTCAAAGTCCCGGAAACTGTCCTGGTCTTTGCGGGAGAGCGCACGGGGCTCACGTGGGGGCGTGAGTGTCGGAGGTTCGGTGGTGAACTCCTCGTCAAAGTTACTGACGTCTTCTTTGCCGCCGATGGACGGGACGAAGGGAGGGGGCAACTTCTTCTGCAGCAGCGCCTCCCAGTCCATGCTCTGGAGGGAGAGATGGACAAGAATAAGAGCAAGAAGAGCAATTAAAGCTGCAATTCAAAAGGCTTCGAAACAACCACCATAACCGTCTGGCTGTAAACACCCGAGAAAAACCTCTTCCACCTCTCAGTGTTTGCTAACGAATCTCCATCTTGCGTTCTCACCCCCAACAAGTTGCCCTGGTACCTTTAAGTCTACTTACTCTGAAAAATGGCTGCTTCTTCACCTCCTCTGCATCCTTCTCACCAGATCCCAATCTTCTCTCTGGGTTCCTCCTTAACAGCTGCACACAGACACACGAGAATAAGAAATGACGAGTGGCTATAACAGTGAAGCATCAACTGTCTGACTGTGAGTAAGTGAGGATGTCGGACTGATTCAGTGTCTCACGTGTAAGTGCAGCATTTGTCACATACAGTTTGTGTGTATGAGCGAGCGAACGTGTGTGTTTGCTTTACCCTCCTCATGATGCCAATAGCCTCAGTGGAGAGGAAGCGTGGGTAGCGGACTTCATCATTCACAATGCTGTCAAACACCTCCTCTTCATCATCCCCTGGGAAAGGAGACTACAAAAAAAATACACAGGTCACACAAAAGCACACTTCACTGAATCCACTTTTGATATTCTGTCATTTAAAACAAAATCAGCATTTAACTACAGCGAACACGAGTAATTAATCGGCACCAGATCAAACTAACACGTGGCTATAATAACTCCATGACCAGTGACAGAGTTTTGACTAAGCGTATGCTAGCTCTTACCTCTCCCACCAGCATTTCATAGATGAGGACCCCCAGGCCCCACCAGTCTACGGCTCTGGTGTAAGACGTGTCTGTCAGGACCTCGGGGGCTAAAAACTCTGGAGTCCCACAGAAGGTGCTGGTCCGGTCCCCAAAACCCATTCCTGCAGAAAAAAACGAAAAAATGATCTCTGGAAGCTAAAAGAGAAACAAAATCACTTCTTAATTTACCTGAACTTCAGATGATGAAAACCTGCCACTCTGTACTGTTTAATCACTCATATTCCTTCATCTGTTTAAATTTCAGAATCGGGTGGAGCTATTATGTCAATTTCCAACTGTTTTACTGGAGACATTTTCCATGATTCACAGTTCAAAATGAGGGTTATTTATCTTACACAGAGGCTTTTTTTGCAGCCCATCAGCCTATCCTCTGCCTCAGCCTCAACTTTCTTGTGATTGGGGATGTGGAGATACCTGCTGTGGTGACCCTTTGTAACAAAGGCTTGGGCAACAGCAGCTTTTTCATATGCTGACCTTATTATTTGATATTGAGGCCATGTTTAATATGGGCACCCTTCATTGTAACCACACAAACAGATGTTGGATAATATGGAGAAGCTAATATGTCACCTATGGTGTTTCTGAGCTCAAGGCAGGGTTCGGTTGACCTGCTTTTCAGCCTCCCTGACAGAATAAAAACATCACACTGTTTTCCGGTTGTAAGTAAATTTGTATCCCGAAGCAAAGGCAAAGACAAATAAAAGACCGTCTGTCAGTAATACACATATCCACCTTCTTTACAGAGTCCAAAGTCAGCGATCTTCACATAACCATCTGTGTCTAGCAGCAGGTTGTCGAGCTTGAGATCTCTGAAAGGGAGAAAACATGCAGGTGAGACTCAGTATCTTTGTACAGCTTTTAGATACAAACTCTTTCTGTGAACTGACTGTAATCCCAGCAGACTGTACTAAACTGAGCCTGTACAATAATGCTCACAGCAAACGTCAGCCTCATGGTGCGACACTCAGTACCCCGGGGATGAATCCTACAGCTTCTGGATGCCCTGAATGATCCAGCATGTGGTACCTGATATTTTTTCAGCTTCGGGTTTTGTGTTATTCCTCGTTTGCGGCTTTATTTTGAAAGTGTTTCAGCCTTTGTGTATCTCTGGGGTTTTTGGTTTCCTGCTCATTGTCAGTCACAGCAAGTGTATAAACACTCTTTCCTTTGTCAGACTGTCTGTTTACCTTGCTCTGGTTTCTTTTGGATTATTTAACTTTTGGGATTTTCCTGCTCCATAATGAGGCAAAGTGTGTAAAGTTTCATAAAATAAACCTCCCACCGTTGAAGCTCCTATTTGCTGTATCTGGGTCTACTAACTGAACTGCAAAACCTATGCTGGCAGAAATGCTTAGAAATTAAGAGCTCAATTTAACATCGATCTTTGACATTTCTATTAGTCTGATGCTTCCTGAGGTGAAAGAAAGCTCCGTTTTACATCAGTTAAGAGGTTTGCGTGGGCTCGACTCACCTGTACACAATCTTATGGTCGTGGAGGAACTGAAGTCCGAGAACCACACAGGCTGCGTAAAACCTGAAGCCAAAAGCAGAGAAAATCAACCTCCAGTTGATAAAATGGGAACTTCATAATAATAACAGACATGCTGCTTTCAGACCACTAGCCACTGTAACCAAATCTGCTGTCTGAGGCCTGACAAACAGCTGCTCCCCAGCTGTTGAACTCCTCGGTATGGGGACAGCAGTAATAGTGCTGAGGGTTTTCTGGCATTATGTCCTTAAAAGACCCTGCACACCCACTGTAAACCCCATACAGATGGCTTCACTTATTTCAGCGGATCTTTTTAGACTGTGTGGGTGTGCTTATGCTGTGGCGTCTCCCTCATTTCCCTTCACTGATGAGAGTTTGGTGACCTCATGATAATCCCAGGATAAATTCAATTTGTGCAGAAATCTAACAAATAAACAAACATAACTTAAACAGATTTCCGTTGATGGAAGGCCTTTAAAACATTCAGTCTAATACAGCGCATCTCTAAAAGGTTTTCACATCTGTCCTAATGCTCAGCAGCCCACATCATAGAATAGAATAGAATAGAATAATCCTTTAATTGTCCCACAAGGGAAAATTGGTTGTAACAGCAGCAAAAACAACGCACATATACAAACAGAACAGAACACAGAACAGAAACGCACACAAACATATTTACATTATGGACAACAGTTACAAAACAGAGTACTGTACAGTTATTAAGAGTTAAGTACAGATGAAAATGGCAAACCCAGGTTGTAGTGTGCAAACAGGGTACTGGAAGATGTTTAAGTAATTAAGAATATTTAGAAAAGGTACAGATTGTGTATTGTACCTGTAAATCATGTTAGTATGTCTTGTGTAAGTATGGCTTATGTGCCGAGAGATGTGCCACATACACGGTACATGAGTTACTTTGAATTTAAAGATCGCAGACGGCTATTTCACACTAAATATGACCCTTTAATATTTGTACATGTATATGTTTTTCACCTCTCTTTCATTATTTTCTCCTTTTCATAATTTCTTTTCATTACAACTGCCCTCTCTCCTCCCTTACTTCCTCCTCACCTGAAGTCTCATGTCCTGAACTTAAATCAGGGCTCTCACACATGAAGACGTGCACAAAGATGTCACAGTTAGTTATTGTCAACAGATTACATATATCCGACCCTTCTATCTCTGGCTAAACAACAACAACAGTTGGCATAAGCTAACGTTATTCCGGCTAATGTTAGGCTCAAATGTCTAAAAAAAAATATCACACTTTCTCTTTGATAAACAGTTCGACTACATTCTCATATTGTATCAGAGTTTCAGAGTTGGACAAAGTTAGATCCACTTCACAGAAAATGTCACTAATACTGGCTAACAGTGGCAAAAGCAGCTGTTAATGTCAAAAAAGTTCAGGATATCCTCAACAACTCAGCTCAGTATCGCTTCACCGTCTCATCAACGTATCGATCGGACTCTTTCCACAAAATTTTACAGCCTCCTCCAGAGTAAATACATGTGCACACATATTGAAAGCTGAGGTAAACAGTGGACTGACAGCCTACACTCACTACAGATGAACAGCGCCCTGATTTGTTTGTCCTATAGCTGCTACCATAGCTAGGATCACACACTGGAATTGGGAATAGAATTCAGTTGGTCACAATCTGGAATCTACTGACATCTAGTGGTGACATTTTACTAACTTTGCCTTTAAAATTTAGCAACGCTTTTTTTCTTGGACAGTACATCCTTGTAAGGTGCGGTGAAGGAACATTAACTGCACAAAAAAGGCCTCAGAAGCTTGGTTTGTTTGTCTTTGACCACATGGCCTTTCACATCCTAGATTTGGCTCAACTGTGGGACCAATCCTCACATACAAGTCAGGCTGTGGATTTGGTCCACTATCACTAAAAATTGCTTTCATAACAGAAGTTTTGAAAAGCTGAAGTGGGAAAAAACACTGGTGTATTTAACAGTATTGACTCCCACTCTGAGCTGAAGGTCGAGATATTGTGCTTGACGGATTCTCGTTAATTATTATGATGTTTTAAGAAGGGATCTGTTTACAATCTCTGTGTTTTAATGTAAATATGGGCGATTACTACATAAAATGAGTGTTTATAACTGATCCCTGAGGTTGACTAAATTCATCAGGACTAATGTCTGGGAAAACCTAAAATTTGTATGGAAATACTTCAAGGATAATCCCTTTATTACGTACACGGCCCGTGGCTCTGTGAAGACGTCTGTGTGGATGTGCATCATCAGGTCGCCTCCTGCTGTGTACTCCATAACAAAACACACGTGCTCTGGTGTCTGGAAGCACGCAAACAGGTTGATCAGGAAGGGATGGTGCGACATGTTGACGATCTCAAAGATGCGCTTCTCGCACATCAGACTAGGGGAGGAAGGAGAGAAGGAAAGAGTGGAAAAAGAGGCAAGAGGAGGAGAGAAAAAAAAAGATTAGAGGGCCATTTAAACATAATTAGATAGTGTTTATTTTAGCCTATGAGAAAACCCACACTCAGCCCACAGATGAACTGTAATCACAGTGATTCAAGACACAAATTAAATCCTGTGAGTAAATCTACTACTGGAGCGCTTAATCTCTGGGCTAAAAACAACAACCACACATCACACAAGCACTGGGCTGAGGAATAAACATCAGCACACACCTATCCACCTCATCCCGAGCAACGATATCTCCTTTTTTCAGGGCTTTGATGGCATACATCGTGCCGGTCTTCTTGTACTCGGACAATAACACCTGTAGACACACAGACACACTCTGATTAACTCTAACACATATAAAGCATTGTTTTTGTTTTTTATTTAAATCTTTTATTAGAGCTTTTTAAACTTCTCAGTGGATCCACGTGTGATATGGTTTCTTTTCTCCCCTGCAGTCACCAATACTTAAAATGTGGCCTTCATGTGCACCTAACAGCATAAGGAAGACAAGCTTTCTTTTTTACAAACTGTCTTTTATTTTTGTTTGCCTGATTGTAGTTGTGACAGTCACATTGTGAGAATCCACAAACAGAGAAGCTGTTAATCTGTGACTTTTTTGCTGTTGTGACCTTCAGTATATTTGAGGGAATAATAACAAAAAGACTCTTGCTCTTTGTGTTGTTATTAATTGGCTCGGTTGTTCCAGGTTTTTTTTTTCTGGATTAGAAAGAAATCGTACCTTCCCAAAGTGTCCACGACCCAAAACAGCAATGAGCCTGAAGTCCCGGAGGGACAGCGGACCTTTCTTCTGCTTGCTGGAGAAACCAACAGGCACGGTGAGGAAGAACATTTAAACTAGACACCAAAAAGTAACAACTGCTGATATTACAGGACACACGTATAAGGACTGTGTACGTGTGGATAATGCAAGCTGAATAATACATTAATACATACATGTAATAATGGGGAGCAGACATTTTAAGTTGCAGCAGGAGGAAAAGCAGAGGATTTATCAAAAACATCAATGGTTCTGTTTTATTCGGGTGTCTGAAGATTTTTGACAGCTAATAACGCAGCAGCTGCTCTCCTGAAAACGCCCAGCTGGGAGCGCTTGAGAGAGCTTGAAAGGCTTTGGAGGCACGCTGTGCCTCCAGGTGAGTGTTTGGTTGCTATGATACAGAAAGTACACAGATGTAATCTGCTGCAGGTACCTGACTCTTTGTCTGACTGCTGCTTTTACTCACACAGGTACAGGAAACCAAATATTCCTCAGAGTATTATTTTAATGTTAATACGCACACTTGCACGTGTGCACACTTGGACAGCAGCACTTAAAACTTGTGACAGAGGTTTGCTGTAGCGTTTCTCCCACCCCTCCTCCACTGTGCTTAAACAGCTGGGTAAAAAGTGACAGTGGTGCATGCAGCAGGTTACATTTGTAACTCTCTTAAAACCAGAAAAAAGATAGATGTGTAGCGATGAGCACAGAAAAAATGCTCGGCCTGTCGCCATGCTGATGTCGCTTTGAGCACATCAGGGAAAGAAACAGAACACATGTAGTGGGTTTCCTCCATCCATAAGCTTCAGGCCTTTATGCTTGGAGGGTTGTAGGGAGGCTGAGGCGAACACCAGCAGATGGTAGGTAAGAGTCAGGGTCATTCATTCACACTTGCATTCAAATATCGAGCAATTCATAATTAACCTGTACATTAAAAGGCCTGTATGGTCTAAAGGCTCAAGCCCAGAAACATTCTGGCTTGGACGTGAGATTTAACTAGAAAGTCAAAGATGCAGCTGCTCATCCGGCTCGTGATCTTTCACAATTCACAAGTAACTGTGATGTAGAAAGTCAGTTAGAAAATTTAGGTGTCATTGGTTGGGTGTTTTAGACAAAGTAATCTGAATTCAAATCCACTGAAAGATGAAAACAGCTGGAGAGATTGTCTCTTGGCTGACCTGGGAGGCCGGGGGGAGAGAGGTCTGGGCTTCTCTGCTCTCACAACCGAGCCCCAGATAAACGGCATAAAACAGATGATGGCTGGTTCGATTTCCACCTGTGCTTTTCCTACTGACACATTTCAAAATGTTTTCTCTGATAAACTTCATCCTCATTATCATATATCATCATTTATCATTAAAATCCAAACAAATCCATTTTAGAAAACAAAGAAGTAAAAGTGTTTCGGTGAGTGTGCGTGCGTGTACCTGCTAACTGAATGGGTTCGGACAGGGGACTCAGGGGTGAGGTCTCGGGGGGAGAGGGGATCGATGACTAGATGTTGGTCCTATCGGAGGACATGCGAGGGAAGAGACAAAAAAGGAACAGACGTGCAGAGACAGAGATTATAAAACGACATGAAATGGAAGACAGGAGACGCAGTCTGGAGCTGATGGTTACTGACCCTGCGCTGGATTTTAAATCTTTAAACCCCGCAAATACCAGGTCGACCACAGTCCTTTACATCCAGGTGTGGCTGTGCTGCTAACAGGAAGGACACCGTAACAGAGCAGAGAGTGGGTCGATTTTACGTCTCTGTTCACATCAGAAGGAGAGCTGACGTAAAGCAGCAATATTTGCAGTATTTACTCATACCATAAACTCTTCCTCTTTCAGTCATTTTCTTGTAAATCAGACTCATATGTCACATGACCATTATTTAAATGTTAAATGCCTAAAATTATATTAACTTAATAACTAAATCTCCTGTCATTAAAATGATTTGCAGGCTTATGTGACTTTATAATGATGAAGCCAAGTCTAACATAATTATTTTTTCTTTCACAATCAGTGTTCGCGTTCCTGTAAGCTACCTGGGACTTACCTGGGTGCTATAACACACCCTAAGCCCTGAAAAGTACAGTGTGCTTACAATGGAAGATGGGGAAATATTTGTTTTTATTTATTTGTAAATTTTTCTGTGATACTTGCCTCCTTTCATCGAAACTTACCCAGGATGTATACATTTTTAAAAATTACTTAAACTGCATTACTTAAAACTACTTAAATTTACTTGCAGTTTCATTATTTATTTGTTTCTTGTGAATTTGTTACCACTTTATTCTAGTTCAATTCAATATTTATATAGCAACTAATCACAACAACAGTAAAGACCCTACAATAATACAGAGACGCCCCAACAATCAGACGAACCACTATGACCAAGCACTTTGGCAACAGTGGGAAGGAAAAACTCCCTTTTAACAGGAAGAGATTTGCAGTCATAATTGTGTTTGTTCATATTCTTTTAAAGTATTTGATGCTGTTACGCCTTTCTTTCCCTGCCAATTCGAAATTTTCGTTTCTTTTTTAGTTAGGAAAGCCCTGTCCCTCATCACACACCTCCCCTAACTCCCGGGTTTCCTCTCGCTCCATCGGTCTCACTGGAGTGTTAATGTCCATGTCTCTCTTGTAATCGCCTCTTATTGGAGAGTCGCTGTCCAGACTCAACTTTTCCACTGAGATCTCCCTGAAAGACCAACAAATACACACACACACAAATAGACCAACGTGTAACACAGACAAACAGACAGAACAACACAGAAGGGTAGTTAGACACGGGGCTGGGAAGGCACCGTTTGCTTTATTCTTTGTCTGGAAACAAAAGGAAAAAAGGTTCAAGGAAAGCTGCTACGTTTGATAGCAAAGTCTGATTGACGGTTATCAAACGTCACTGCCGATGAAACGACCGAAGCGCGTGCACCTGCGTGTACATATCTCAATGCGTCTCACCCAGAGTTGAGTGTGAGGCTTTGTGCGTTGGGACTGTAGGTTCCTGAGTTGTTGACGGTGGGGATGGCGTTTCGAAGCAGCCTCACCCACGTTCCGATATCCACGTTCATCTGACGAGCCCGGAGGAACGCCTTGCCTGGAAAATGCACAAACACACACATCTAGTCAGAGTCAGAAATTAATCAAACATAACATTCAGCCACTAAAACTATTTTTTTCTGTTCAGGAATACTGATATTTAGCATCTTAATAAAAAATGTTAAAATTAAAAATGGAAATTTCATAGATGAGAACAGAAATAATATTTCAGCATTAAAAACATAATTTTAATTTAAGAGTTTGCACATACTGGCAGGTTAACAATTACAGAATCATAAAAAAATATTTTTTATAAGACAAAAAAACCGCCAGACCTTCCAGAGTTTGGCTCAAGTTTTTATATTCTGTTTGCTTTCCTATAGAAATGAAGGTAAACAAAAATAATAGTCACCACTAGAGGGTGCTGTGGTCTAAATAAAAAAAGGAGGGAACTGATGGCATAAGCAGCTGTATGCTTTACTGCAGGTAGTGTCCATCTTCCTGTCATGATAAAGCTTTTAAAGTTTTACTGTTTCTCCATATAAAACTGCCCTCAGGCTGCTGAGTAGAAAATGGAAGAGAAATAGAAAATGTGTAATGTTTCTTCACTGCTCTGTCTGCTCCCCACCTTGTTGCTTAGAAAAGACTTTCTTCTGCCTCCGCAGGCGCGGGACTCTCTCAATAACTGGGTTAAAGAAGGTCACCTGGAAAACACACGAAACAAAACATGAAAAGAAACGATTTAAAAAATCCCACCCATATTTTATTTTTACGCTCAGAAACAGCCTTTCAAGTGTGACGTATCAAAGCAACGCTTTCCAGCACAGGTGCATGTGGCAGCTCACGGGTGGGCGCACACATCTGAGTGTGTGTTTCAGTGCGAGTGAGTCGCCATTCATTTCGCTGTTTCTTTTTTGCAGGTGTGTGGTATGTGTGTACCTCAGCCAGCAGCAGGCCCTGAGGCTCCAGCTCCAGCTGAACTCTGTGCTTCTGGTTGTCCAGGAACTCCTCCAGCTTCAGGTACTTAAGAGCGCACAGCGAGCGGTAGTCCTTCCAGTAAACTGCGATCTCCATCTCCCTCGACTGAAGCGCAGGCACCCAGCGGTATTAACAAAGAGAAAAGCTGCCTTAAATAAACTCTTTGGTCCCTGCGTGCAAGTTTGTAGGAAGGAGATTGGATACTGACCCTTTCAAGCTCCACAGTGAACGTCTGGTCCCAGGCCTGCTCTCCCACAGTCTTCCAAGCAGTCTGACCCACCACTGTGTTATCCAGCTTCAGCACCGCACTCACCTCAGCTAAACACACATGCAAACCAATGATTTCCTTCATTAATGAATCCAAAACTGCACAAAATAATTAAAAAAATTAACGCCGACCAACAGGTTCCTTTGAGATATGGAAAAAAAGGACTAAGACCTTACAAAAAGCTGTTTGCAAACTGCCTTTAACCTCCTAGGACCTGGCGTCCACATATGTGGACATCATATTTTGGGTTATTTAGACCAAAATACTCAATTTTGCTCTACATGGACTTACAAGGACATTATACTGCTACTGTTCTATCAAAATTTTAAACAAATATCCTCATATGTGGCTCTTATTTTTCTTAAAAACAAAAATAAGGTAAAAAAAAATCTGGTAATACTTTGTTTTTACATTCATCGGGTCCCAATATGCCCAAATATCAAAGAGAAATTAAAATGCATGTCGTGGAAGAGTTCGGGTCTTAGAAGGTTAAAGCATCTGTCATGACCTGACAAATAATATCTAACCTGATGAGCCTAAAGTGACTCACGACAAAGTCAAGGGGGGAAAAAAAGCCAATATAGCCAACAAAGAAGACATAAAATGCAGTGAAAGCTGAAATGAAAGCCTTAAATGCACCACGTGCACACTCATACAGTCACTCACAGGAGAGCTCCTCTGTCTTGCTTGGCGTCTTCCCGCTGACGGAGCCACTGCGTCCGTAGAGCCCCTTGCTGCCCCTCATGAAGGACCGCGTGTCTCCGGGGCTGTAGCAGGGCAGCATGAGAGGTGTCCCTTTATTGCGCCCTGGGACCACCTCTAGTAACCCAACACAGCCTAGCAGCTGCACTTGTAATGTACCTGAAGACAGAGGAAAACAACGTAGGCACAGCCTGAATGCATACCTCACTTCTGTACCTTCTTCTTCATATTGTAGGATTCTCCTGAGCCTGTATGACATACCAGTGAGAGGCGATGGCTTGCTGAGGGTAGTATACTGGTTTTGAAGGTAGGGGGCGCCGTGGCGGGAGCTGAAGGCAGGTGAGGAGGCCAAGACCAGCTCCTCTTTGATGATGCTGGCCTTTGGATGGTCCTCTGGCAGCTCTGCCAGGCGCTGGTCAAGAGAATCTCTTAGCAGGTCCAAACGCTGGGAGGCCTCGCTCAGACGAGACTGTGCCTGCAGAGCATCGAAACAGACGATATCTACCTTTTAAACTCTCAGACAGACATAAAAAGACAAGAAGAAGTCCTATGCTACTTCTCAGTGCACACATATCACAGTGGCACACCTTAATTTAATCACATTTTTTGTGACCTGCTGCTTTTAAGTGCATGCAGAAAGACAATGTTAGGCTTGAGCGAGTTTTTATGTTCATTTATAGAGTAAGTAAATGCGTGCGAGTGAGGATTCAAAAGGCAGAACTCTCACGGCATGTGGTGAGAAAACAAGTGGTTCATTGTCACTGTGGGGGTAAAATGCAGCACGTTACGCGGCAGCTGCTGTTGTGAGGCTCTCTCTCAAATATTTTTATGAACAGATTGCAGAGTTCAGCAGCTGAAACTGTTCTGCGAGGGATCTGACATCACGGGACACTCCTTTGCTCTTAGTTTCCTCGACGTATAACGAGAAACCATATCAGACCCAGACAACTCAAGATGCCATAATGTTGGTGAACAAGCAAACAAAAAAAACAGTTGACAAGAGATCAAATTTTTGTGAAGGATCTAAGGCAAAGCCAAAGATAGCTGAAGTCTCAGAAGTAAGAGATAGCGGAAAACAAAAGGAGCAGATCTGAAGAAGATCTACAGGTGTGTGTCAGCATGATGTCATCGGTACAGCTGCCGTCTCGCACGTGTCTGTGTGCGCTTTGAAGTGTGTGAAAGCGAAACATCAGCAGGATCCGCTCTAACCTCAGACAGAGCTTTCTTGTCCTGAACTTTGCTGGCCCCCAGGAGCCTGAGGACGTTTTTGGCCCCCTCAGCAACAGCATGCTCCACCCTGTAGTGATGTCTCAGCTCTTCGATACGCAGCTCCATCCCGCACACGTCTTGGTTACCTGCGTGATGGAAAGGGGCAAACAACATTACTGCACAGCAGACACGATGGCAATCTCCTACGCAGTCTCTGTGCTGCGCGCGTGGCAGCTACGTTAAGGCTTTCCTGTTTCGCCAATGGTGTGTTACAGGGAACTCCCCTGGGCATACTAAGTTAGGTTAATGCCTTAATGCTTGTCATGCATTACACAAGAGGCGAACAAAGAAAACATTAGCGAGGCCTAGAGGGAGGTAAGCAGCCTCTGACTGTTCCCCCGCAAGCAGTGCTTAGCATAATTCCAGCCTCTCCTTCCAAATAGCCCCATATCCCTGCTCTAAAAGCAAACAGAGCAACCAAACAAAATAAGTCTCTCACCTATTTACATTTTTAAAACAGCTAGCAAGACTAAAGCAAAAACACTTGCTTTAAATTTGTAGCTTCATCTCTGCTTTTCTCAGAAATGTACATTAGTGGGAAACAGAAAGTCTTATAATGAGATGCAGTGCTTTCAACTCAAAAGCTAAAAACATGCTCAAGCTCCCTCACTTAAAAGAACAGATATGAGAATCAGCATAAGAGCAGCACCCTACAGCACAAATTAGAGCAAAGTGCTTAGCTTAATGGCACCAATACAGCCTTCAAATGATGGGCAACAAACTGAGAGCACTCAGATATGGGAAGAGCCGGAAGAAGGTGTGTGAGCGTGATAAGGAAAAGGACAATCGGACAAATGGCATTCAAAGACGATGTGTTTGACTTTCAAACACCAGATTGGTTTAGAAGAAAGACAGAAGACCAGGATGGATGGTTTTTACAATTCTGAGCTGCTCAAATAACTGCAGGAGACAGAAGAGAAAGCAAGGACAGGAGGGAGGTAGGGGTGGAGAACGAAGTGGGTGCTTTTATCTCCTAATAAGGTGTTCTGCCTGGAGCCCAGACCTCTGCTAGATGACCCCTCCACCGGGTGTGGTGCCTGGAGACTGTCTGTGTACACCATACACACAGCCCTGTGATATGGTGTGTGTGCGTGTGTGTGCGGTTTAAAGGAGAGGGACAGAATCAAAGCCAGAGAATATACAGCCGTGGTTGCTGTTAGAGACAATCAAATAGAGAAGAAATACAAAGGGAGAGGTGTGTGGTGGTTGATCAATTTAGTCTGATAAACATGAACATTAGCTCAGGCTGAAATTGTAGTTTAAGAAAAAGCCAAATCTGGCTGTGCAGCATCACTTTAAACTCTGCTGGAGAACCATTAGCTGCTGCTAGTATAACACACCCCTTTGTGCTCAGTATCAGAGCATGAAAATCCAATTAGAGATGCACAGACTGTTGGATTCTGGGTCAATACCAACACAGATGTTTACAATAACACTTTACAATCACAGCCAATGGAGACAGTGTACTGTTTTTTTCACATTTTGCCTGCTTTGTTGTTAATTATTCTTCCTTTTATTCCAGTGAAGACAAGAAACTAACATTTTTTAAAAGATTTAACTGGTGTAAAACTGATATGACAACAGATTTCAGCCACTGATATTTAAATGCTATTTTGTCAGCCAACACACATACACTCACCTACTGCTTCCCCAAACCATTACACCACCACCAGCAGCCTCAACCAATGATTCAAGGCAAGATGGATCCATGCTTTCATGTTGCTTACATCAAATTCTGACCCTACCAAGTGAATGTACAGCAAAAATAGAATCATGAGACCAAGCAATGATTCCCCATGTGCTACTGTCCAGTTTTAGTGAGACTGTGTGAACTGTAGCCCCAGTTTCCTGTTCTTAGCTGACAGGAGTGGCACCCAGTGTAGTCTTCTGCTGCTGTAGCCCATCTGCTTCAAGGTTAGCATTCAGAAATGCTCTTCTGCGTACCTTGATTGTTTCTGTTATTTTACTACTAGCTCAAAGCAATCTGACTATTCCTCAAAACAAGACATTTTCACCCAGAGAACTGCTGCTTTTCAGACCACTCTCTGTAAACCCAGCTTTCTTCTCCCATTCAGATGCTCAGTTTGAGTTTCAGCAGCTCATCTTGACGTCTAAATGCATTAGTCTGCTGCCATGTTATTGGCTCATTAGATGAGCTAAACGGATGTACCTAATGAAGTGGACTATGAGTGTACGTATTAGTAAACGATGTTCGTATATGCTGATACTTTTATGCTGCCAAAGCTGTGGCTTGGCTGCATTGCTTTTCATCCTTTTAATTTTCACTTTTAAAACAATTTCAGAGGGATAACATTTTAAATACGCTGCTGCTCACTGTGGTCATTAGCCTCTATATGACTATTTATATCACGTCGGAGCAGTGGAAAGAACTCCAGATCATTAAAAACCCTTTAGGTTTTCCACATGGAGGACACAGATGGATAAAGTATGCCCTTAAAAGGCCCTTAAATAATCCTTCCAAATGGACATCATCTTCATTCCCTTAAAAGACACCCTGTCTTTTAACAGCCATCGGCGCTCGTCTGACAAGAGCAGAAAGGAATAGATAGCCCCAAAGGGAATATACCGTCTTTAAATCTGTTTTTTACTTCCACCCCCTCCCATCGCTCTCCCTCTGCTCTCCTGGTACATTTTAGCAGACTATTCACCTCCCGTGACCGGCATCAGTCGGCCTGTTTTCCCAGCAGAGGGGTCTTAATGGTCCACAGCACTCAGTGCCCTATAGCGGCATGTTCACCTGCCCTGGCATTGATCGCCCTGCCACAACACATAATATGAATGTCCAACAG